TAACTCGACCAGTGAGTTGTTAATAACCAATCGTAACTAGGTCTTCCGGATGACTCTAGTTTACGTGAGCTGAAGGGACATGCATATTACTTCTTGTAATTGCATATAGACTTGCAGAGGTCGTAGCTCAATAACTAACTGACCAATCTGAACCAACTAAGTCTTATCTTGTAGAGCGAAGCTCCTTCTATGTTATCCAGCAAAAACCCCTCGGTCGCATGCCTCGTATCTCCGCGGAGCGGGCTGCATAGATGCCTTGTCATATCGTGCACCAATATCTTAGCGCTACGAATACTACTGCGGGGCCCGGAGTCGGACACGTGACCTTATGCATTTAGTCACGTGCCACACCGATTACGCTTCTATGTGTAATACTTATAAATACCTCTTCGATATTGCGAATAGCATTCAGGATGGTGACGAATAAGCGGTGTACTGTTTCCGGAGAGTGTTGAAAGCGCTCTTGCATATTTCGACTACTGGCACTATTGCTGACTCGGTACAAAAACATATGCACTTGATGCTCAACTGTCGTGTATCTGGTATCCTGTAATCCACCATACTTCCGTAGCTTATGACAGAGTATTCCAAATGTTCTCTTTGTCATCCGAAAATTCTCATATATTCGCCCTTTATGCTTACTGGCTAGTAGCTCATCTGTATACTGTTGGCGTGATAATACTGACGTGTGGTATGGTACTGGATCTCTCAATCCGACTCCTGAGGCAACAATAAATCCGCATGCTGCGAGCGCACCACCAACGGCTACCGTAAAAACTTGAATAATTGAACCGTGTGCTAGAAGGTTAGAATAAGATTTAAGACAAGGAGAACAGGAAATTAGTGTCTTAGAGTGACTTTTGAGCAAGGCATAGGGTATGACTCAAGGCTAAAGTCAACAACATCTCATCAGATCTTGACTTAGAATACGAGAAAGTAAACAAAAAAAAAAGGGAAAGAGTCATAGCAATTGAGCAATTGCTCATTTCTTTGTAAATATAAACAGAAGCAAGCAAGATAGAAATGTATAATACAAGGGTGTCTAGCGAATTGCAAATTCAAAAAGCGGAGCGGAAACCACAACAAGTCAGATAAAACGCAATGCCAGCAAGACAGACTAGCCAGCGAAGCGGACGTGTTCCTGTCAGGCCAGATATCCCCCCACTACCCGCAGACAAGTTCTATGCCGGTGTATGAAAAAAGAGAGGCCCAACGCGAAAACCCCTTCTTGAAGTCCTCCGGTGCCCTCAAAAAGAAGTGGCCAATCCCTATCGCTCATATACCATTAGTTACAAACTACGTGTCCTCTCATATTGGATTGGAAGAAAGATTCAATGTGGGCCAACAAGGGTAAGGGAACCAACAAGGGCAGAGGTTGCTCAGAGATTCAAAATTCCTGAAGGAAATTTATCACGATGGAAAAAAGAAGAGAAGGAAGGCAAGTTTAAAGCCCAGAAGGCTGGACAGCGGCGGGCTGGAGGTGGAGGAAGGGGTAGGATATGGGCAGCAATGGAAAAGGCGTTGTTTGAACGATTTCGGGAGCGGAGGGCGATGGGAAGACCAGTACGGCGTGGTTGGTTTCGCAAAGTTAGCGAAGAACTTATTCCCATACACTATCCGGGGCAGGATCTTACCTTATTCCGTTTCTCAAATAGGTGGTTTCGAAACATCCTACGCTGGCATCAAATTAGTCTTCGCTTTGTTACAAATAAAGCTAGTCAATTGCCAGCAGACTTTGCTGGGGCTATACTTAACTGGTTGAAGTTCAACCGCCGTAACTCCCAAACGCGTGAGCAAGATGTAAACGGGGGAAGAAACAATACCTTGATGCCAACGATTGGCCGTTATAGGTTGCAGAATATCTGCAATATGGATCAGACACCTGTTCCATTTGAGTACTTGGAGGGTCAAACCTACAATTTAATTGGTGAAAAGTCAGTTTGGTTGCAATCTTCGAAGTCAGGTTGGGATAAAAGGCAGGGTACTATTCAACTTACTATCTTCGCTGATGGTATTTCTCATGTCCTTCCACTTGTCTTTTTCCGTGGACAGGACATTGGGCCAACAATCGGAAGGGAACGGCAGCATTACGATCCCCGAGTGGTCGTAAAATTCAATCCAACTGCCTACGCCAACTCAAGCAGTGTGCTTGAGTGGCTAGACGAACAATTGATACCTGTTCTTGACGGTCAGCCAACCCTTCTCGCTATCGATCTCTTTCAAGCCCATCAAACAGCAGAGGTACTTGATACCTTTAAGGCCAATGACATTACTGTCAGCCTAATTTCTGGAGGCTGTACTGGCCTAGTACAGCCCCTTGACGTATCTATAAACCGTCCATTTAAGGACATTTTGAAAGTTAGTACATTTTCAATGAGAATGAAGAAAAAAAAAGAGAACCAGACTTACCAAAAAATATAGGAGAAAATGGATCTTCGGTTGGAAGAGATTGAGGCAGAGGAGGAACTAGAGGTTAGCGAAGGAAGAGCTTTG